ATTGGGGTTGGATCTAAACTCTGCAGGACATCGGCCCTCCAGGACCGAGTTTGGGCACCCCTGGACTGTCTGCGTCATCTGCGTCATCAGTTTGAGCTTTTCACCACATTATTCATGAGAATGAGCTCATTCAATCCAAGCCAGTGCTACCAGTGCTAAAACCGCTATAATTTAAAAAAAACTTTTAAGTCTGTCTTAGGTGTAAAAGGAGCCAATAACAGGAAGCAAAAAATAGATATGCAGTGAAAACTTACCATAGTACAGACAGAAGACAGCACAAGACCCCGCAAAGGCACCTAGAAACTGGGCTACCACATAGAAAGGAAATTTCTTTAATGGGAGTTTCCCCAAGACAACCATAGCCAGAGAAACTGCTGGGTTCACATGTCCACCTGCAATGAGATGCAACAATTGAGAGACTGCAAACTTTTGATGACAGCAAAGTCATCAAAATCTGTATTGGTTTTAGTGGTCCATTTTTGAATGATGATTTTGTATTGATTGAGGCTTGCATATAAGCATGCTGAGGTTTTTTTGTAGTACAGGAATTTGGAATCAAAAGAGCACACTGCGTCATTCATCTCACACTCACAAGTTTTTATGTGCTTTCTCTAATTGTTATATATGTATACTCTCTCTTTCCCTGTCTTAATCCAGAGTGTTCTTCATAAACACTTGCTACAAAAACTAGTTGTGTTAGTCAATGGGAATTGGGTCTGACATAATCTGGCTAAGTCCTCAGACACAAATGGCTTAGGAGTACCTCAGCTTTGACATAAGAGCAATCAGGCCTTCAGAATTGTCTCTGACCCCACTGTACATGCCGCTTCAGAATGGAAAACACTGGCCTTTCCTGACCCACATAACTGTTTTCTCAAACATTTGGTAGCTGGTTAAATGTTGATCAAATAAAAAATTTGCTAATTTTTCTTGATTTCAGTTTTGACCCATGATAGTCATTAAGCAGGAAGCCAGTCTTGTTGTTTGGGTCTTTTGAAGAATCTAAAAAGCGTCATAACAATATTTCATATTAAAACGCAACTGATTGGTTAAGGTAAAATATTTTTTGCCAATTTTGTTAAAAACCAGAATGAATCTTGTTTATTCACAAGATATTATTATTATTATACAGTAGTCTTCGACATTCGTAGTATGGGAAAAAAAATGGCTACCGTCAACGGTTTGGTTACCAACATTATTCAAAATATCTTCTTTTGTGTTCAGCAGAATAAATAAACTTATACAAGTTTGGAACAACATGAGGGTAAGTAAATGAAGAAAGAATTTTAATTTTGGGTAAACTAGCCTTTAATAATGACAGGCCAGTGCCTACACCTGACTTCCACCTGGGACATATGGTCTAGAAAAGCTCATTAGTTCAATACTGTAGTCATCATCACAGCATGTAAGATTATCACAGTCATGTGGGCGACTGGGCTAACCAACTTATTCATGCACAAATGCACACTTTTGACGACTTTTACTGCAGAACTCTGGCTATATTTAACGTCACATACATATATTTATATATGGCTCTGTCTCCCCTTGTGACACACTGAGAGGAAGGATGAGGAACAGATCTGCAACTCAAGACTCATCACCTCTGATAGTTCAGTTGCAAGCATCGCCAGAACACCACATGCCTCATGCCCCTCGACACATTTCCCCTGAACAACCCGAACTGCACCACCACAATCATTGTCCTTTTATTCATATTTTAATTTTTATTTAAAAATCATTATAAGCCATCAATCAAGTTGACATAAGGTGCATCATATAGCTACTATTATTTCTTCTGTTTAACAACTTCTTGATGTCATATTCTTTATGTGCAATTGTAATAAAAACAATCATTATCATTAAAAAAATGCAAACATGAGTAAAAGTGCAATGAATATTATTATTGAATAAAATATTAAATAGGATATTAAAATGCTAACACAAATAAAAGCGCAATTTATTTTTATTATTATTATCATTATTCAATATTTATTTATTATTTTATGTAATTACTGTTTTTTTTTTTTTTTAGGAAGACCACACACTACCCCAGTGCTGGTAAATTATGCACTGACGGCTTCACCCTCTGCTGATTTGTGACAGCACGGTGTGAACTGGAGTGTGTCCTCACAACTACGATGCTGACTACTGTGACCCTCATGAGAACTTAAGTTGGCTGGGCCAGGGGAAGGCATCCTGTAGATATTTTAGAGGTTCTCTCTGTAGGCACTCAGGGTAAGTTTGCACAACAATAATTGTACTGAAAACAGAAAAGTTTTCCCTTAGCGTTTTTAAAAAAAAGTTTCACATACAGACGACCACGATGTCAAAATGATCCCCATTCACACTGATCTGCAAAAATTACTAAAAACACTGAATTATGCATGCCAGGCCAGCTGGTGACATTGTAAAGAAACACTATTTGCCTGCACACATACGCATACCTATAGACTGACACGTAATACGTATGTGCATGACATCACCTTTTTTGCAAATTTGCATTTTTGTAGTTTGCATAAAGACTATAACGGTATCGTCTTCAAAAACGTGCATTTTCAGGCTCACAAAATGCTGTTTTTGTGTAAATTAATGGCCAAAACGCATAAAAAGTTTTCTGTTTTTAGTTGAAAACCGTTTGTAAACAGCCCATCAGATTCAGGAGATATAGAGAGTTGGTATTAACATTAAGTGGCATTACATCTTTTGCACAGAAACCACTGGCACATGCCGCTATGTTTAGCAGCACATCCGGTGGTACATCCAGTTATCAGTGGCATGTGCCAGTGGATTGTGTAACATTATGTTGTGACTCCTCCGACCGGTAGTGACTGGCACATGCTGCTGTCTGTTGGAGCATAATGTAGATGGTGACACACGCACCTAACTGCAGAACAACGTTTAATTCATAGTATGTTGCTTTTTAAACATAGGCTAATATGTGTTAATTTGTACAACCATTAGGATTCTCCATACTATATCTGTTTTATATGTCTTGTGTCCACTGTGTTACTGCAGGGGAAATTCAATGGTAAGCTTTTAAAGAAATTCCAGGAATCATCTGCATTATTATAACACATTATAATAAAAGTTTCACCTCACCATAATCCTTGAGGAATTGTCTTAATGAAGGCCAGACATACATGTCCAATCTGGTTTATCAAACCCAACACACGCCTCCACTTGACACCAAGCCTTATGCAAGATTTAAGAGCATGTAATTGACCTATCATTTCTTCCTCCCCCTGTCCATCACTATAGAATATTTTTGAATGTCAGAGAAACAGAGCGCATCAAATACAATAAGCACAAGGCTTCCCCCTCTATTATGTCATTCATTAATCTTAACATTTGTAAGGAAGCATAAGTCTGTTAAGCACTGAAGCAAATCCACCCTTCACTCTCTCTCTTTATGGTCAAAGGTCAAGATCATGGAATACTCTGTATGGGGTATATTTGATCCAGCTGTCTAAGGCGTATTACTGCATGAAAGGCTTTTTCTACCTCACTAGCCATTTGACTCCTTTGACCAAATTTAGGTCATAAGAGAATAAATGCACATAAACCGCAATAGAGGAATAAACTGGGCTGTTTATGTAGTTTTGATTAGATCATGGATATTGTAATGTTGCATATGGCGAGTAGGTGGTTTGTGTGTAGACTGAACATCGCATGTTTTGTTGAGCATGATCAAAGATCACAAACAACTGTGAAAACAGCCCTGATGGATAGCTAAATATGACCTTTGAAATGAGAAGATGCTTTGAACTCAGCTGTCCCAGACTAATGCCTTTTATTTATTAAATGCATTTTCATGCATTTTGGAATCATTTAAAAGTTCACTTCAAATTTGTGTTTTATTTTTATAGCAGACTATAGGTAACTGACAGTCAGGTAAATTTTAAGTTTATGTAGCATATGTGCATGTTACATATACACAAGTGTTTTCTAGGCTTCTCTATTTGCCAGTGTGACCAGTTACCTGACACTCCTCCTGCCATGTACACAGCCAGCATTACCCCTAAAGTAAAGCCAAAATGGATGGTGAGGTTTTCTCCTTGTTTTTCTCTGCTGAGAATGGTCTGGGCCACTGAACCACAGCCGAAGAGCTGCAAACAGGAAATGGGCAGATTTAGGAAGACAATTAGTAGAAATTAGTAGAAAGCTACCGCCATACAGATAAGAAAAGCACTCTTGTTGCGGAGCACTTATTCAAAACTAATTAGTAGGACAGTTTCTTCAAAAGCTCAGCCCATTATGGTCAGGGCGGCACCCCAAAGCAACAAAATCTGTCATGTTGAATCAGAATCTTATGCAATTACACCAGTAGAATACACTGTAGAAAAAGTCTAAGTGTATTTCATGTTTTAATATCTAAATAAAATCATTGAAGTCAAAGATTTGCGATATTACTCAAATCTTCAGGTACTCATTTTTTTGTAGTAAAATGTACTGTGAGATAAGTTGTCAAACCTGACATTATCACAATTATGAAACACAAAACAATTCACTAAACAGCTAAACATACAATACAAAGCACAATACAAACATTAAATTTAGTCAGTTCAAAAAGTAATGTATAACATTTATCAATCATGTGACATCATCTGATGTTCATGAAAAATATATTTTTCCTGAGAACAGGACAATTTCTTTATTTTATAGTTAACCCTAGCCTAAATGTATGTAAGTGTGGTTTTATTTTGTTCGCTTGTTTACACAAGAGCTATAGCAAAAATATAATTATTGGAATAGTATTTGAGGACATAATTAGCAAAAAAAATTTATATATATATATATATTATATATATATATAATATTACAAAATAGAAATAAAATC